ATCCATATACCATATTTGGCTCCTCCCTTTCACTTGGACCCGCAAAAGGAAATCAGGGGTTAGTCTTAAGAATCCAAACTAGTTTGGGTCCCTTTCTATGGGCAAAAGGATGAATCAGATTCTTTCTTTCCTAACTAGGCAGCTTGTGCTTTTCTTGAACAAAAGCTTCGTTTCTTTGACTGGCCTTTTCTTTTGCATTACATTCATATTTGTAATGGCCAGTATTACCACAGTGTGTGCAGATTTTATTTTCAGGAAGAGTGAGGTACTTGCTTTTTTGATCCCATTTAGGAGCTTGAGTCCCATAGCCAAGTCCTCTTTTGTTACTGCTATGATGCTCTTGCAGCCAGAAGAGAGCATCAGAAGCCTTGTTCCACTTGCAAGTTCTGTCTAGTTCATGTTTTACCTTTCCTAGATGTTCTTTCAAGACTTTAATGAATTCATATTTCTTGTATAATTCATCTTTCATTTTTTCCAAATTTTCTTCTAGAGTTAGATATGTGTGAACAGCTTTCTTCTTTCCTGTTCCTAATTTCAGTTTTAAGTTTTCAGACCTAAGCTCTAGGACAGTGTTGTCAAGTTCAAGAACCTGGTTCTTCAACTCAGCATTTTTGTTATCATCTCATTTGCCCTAGACTCTATACTTTTACATTTTGCTTTTAGAATCACACATTCCCTAGACAGAACTTTCTTCTCATTATTAATTATCTCAGACTCATCAATGAAGTCTATTAATAGCTCAGCCAGCCTATCTTTAGACAAGAATTTAATCTTGTCTTTGAGATGAAGAATACTTACCTCTTGTTCATCATCTGATTCTCCGATGGCCATTAGTGCTTGCTCCTCCTCAGCTTCATCTTCTGAGTCTTCATCTGAGGTTTCTCCCCAAACAACAACCGCAGTCTTGGTTGAACCTTTGTTTTTCTTTGGTTGAACCTGTTCCTTCTTCCTGTTCCTTTGTTCAGCTCTTTTTTTCTTCCACTCAATTTCCCATTGAGGGAAGTTTTTGATCATGTGGTCAGTCTTATCACACTTGTAGTATCCCTCATTGGTCTGTTTCTCCGGAGCTCTTGTTTTGTTGAAGTTTGTACCTCTTGAAGAACCCTTTCCTCTCATCATGTACTTCTTGAAATCCCTAGTGATCATAGCCACTTCATCATCTTCCAAATCTGCACCTTCAGCAATTCTGAGAGCTAAACTTCTCTCCTTTTTGGGAGTATCCATCTTCATGGTTTGTCTCCTCATTTCATAGGCAGTTAAATTTCCAATTAGTTCATCCAGTCTAAGGGTAGCAATGTTCTCGGATTCCTGAATGACAGTGATTTTGCTTTCCCATGTGACTGGCAGAACTCTTGTCAGAATCTTCTCAACCTTGTCTTCTTCAAGGATAATCCTTCCAAGAGATTCAAGTTCATTTGTCAAAGTGGTGAATCTAGTATACATCTCCTGGATAGTTTCTCCTTCTTTCATAGTAAAATTCTCATATTGAGAATACAGAAGTGTTCCTCTTGATCTTTTTACTTGAGGTGTTCCTTCATGAGCCACTTGCAGAGTGTCCCATATTTCCTTAGCAGTTGTACAGCTTTGGATCCTACTGTACTCGTCTGGTCCTAGACCACATACAAGCCACTTCTTCGCTTTAGCATTTTTCTCCCACTTCCTCAGGTCCTCAGCAGTACAATCAGCCCTTGTTTTTGGCACATCAATTCCTTCAGCATTCTTCTTAGTGGTTGCTAGGGGACCATCAGTGACTATGTCCCAAAGTTCATAATCCTCCCCTATAATGTGATCTCTCATTCTGTTCTTCCACCAAGAATAGTACTGACCATTGAAAAGTGGAGGCCTGGCAGTGGATTGCCCTTCCCAGTTCCCAGGTGGTGCACTCATTGTTGATCTTTTCCTAAGGTGTTAGCCTCTTCAAGGATAACCTGCTCTGATACCAATTGATGTTACACACGTCAATACCACATAAGAGGGGGTGTGTGATTTGTGTGGTACCTAATTTTCGCACTAGAAGAACCTGGTTCTTCTAGATGTACTTACTATGACTGTTTGCGGAGTTAAGAGTGCATAAAATAAAGAACACAGAGATTTTTACGTGGAAAACACCTGGCTCAAAAGGTGAAAAAACCACGACCTACTACTCAGTAGGATTTTTCCAAACTTTCACTAAAATCACTGAGCCAAAACAACATTTACAAAACTCTTGTAAACCTAAGGATTAAACTCTAATCCTAGTGTGGCACACAGCCTCAACTGCTGCGACACTTTCAAGTTAACTCTAACTTGAATACTCAAAGTACCTAATACAATTGCTTCTATGAAAGCTGAAAGGTACAACTTTAAAACACCTACTACAATTGAACTAGAATAAAAGAAAGACACAATGGAATTGGTTCTTCTATCTTGTCCAAGTAGCTTCAGGAATGCACACTTGAATCTCAAGTAAATTGCTAGCAAAAAGCCTTACTATTTTGCTCTTCAATTTAGTTTCACTTCTGCGTTTGTGCAATCCTTGTAAAAGAGAACAATCATTATTATTTATAGAGTTAGTAATCAGAGTTTGATTAAAACTCGAATTATTGATCCTTCATCAAATTCGAGTCCTAGAACAATTCAAACTCCAATCCTTATTCTTGATCCGGATGTAGTTCTCTTCACATAAGGAGACTTCAACTCCTTATCCTATGCAACCTTTTCGATCAACTCAGAAGATATTGTTGCTGACCCTTGAGACTTATCTTCACACGTATGTCACATGTATAAGTATATCAACACTGTGTCTGTCTCACATGATGGACCTGGTTCATGACTGAGTTCATTTTGTCAATCTTCAAAACTTCATCTGAACTTGGGCCAACAGTAGCAATAGCAGGTTGAACTGCTCCAACTAGTAGAATTGCTGGAGTCTGATACCCGTGAACCATTTGCTCTGGAGCGTGGGTGGCAGGAGTCTTGGCTCCTCCCCCCGCATGAGAGACGGTTGATGCCATAGGGAACACACCAGCCTGGGCCACACTCTCCATAAGGTCGACCAAACGGACTAGAGCGTCCTAAAGTACTAGGTGGCAATGAACCCCTCTAGGACTTGAACTGGTCCAACTGGCATAGTTTGAACAGGAATCTCCTCCCCCTGCTCGATTTGAGGCTCTGTTGCGCATGCTCTAGGATGAGCTCTACCCTTGCCTCTGACCCTACCTCGACCCCTACTCCTGGTAGTGGCTGCAACCTAGGGCTCCGAGGATCAGCAATGGATGGCGTGCGTGTCCTCACCATCTGTGAGAAAACATGAATAGAATGATTCAAACTACAACAACAACAATATACCCAGTAAAATCCCACTAGTGGGGTCTGGGGAGAGTAGAGTGTACTCAGACCTTACCCCTACCACGAAGAGGCTAGAGAGGCTGTTTTCGGGAGAATGATTCAAACTCAATGGTAGAATAAAATCACACGATATAGAAAGAAAGAAGGTGAAATTTTCTAAAGCCCTATAGCCTTTAGAAGATAAGTACAGACGTCTCCGTATCGATCCTCCAGACTATACTTAGTTGCTTGCTCCAATACCAAGTTGTCACTACCCGAACTCCCAACCACAGGGCCATGATGGCGCCTAAAGTTCACTTTCTAGGAAAGCCAATATTAGCTAAAGAATTAACAAATTTTAACAATTTAAAAGCAAAATATTAATAATTAATGACGGAAATATCTATAAAATTCGCATAATGAATCCATAAATAACGCTGTCTAAACAAATCCCAGAAATTCAGAGTGACAAGAGCATGAGCGACTAGAATACTACAAACATAGTCTAAAATGAAATACAACTATTCGAAACAAGATAAACAATAAAAAAAGATAGAAGGGGACTTCAGGGACTGCGAACGCCGTGCAACTCTACCTAAAGTCTCCTGGATTGATCTGATCCGAGCAACCTCCTTTGTGCGTCGCTAGGACCAACACCGAGAACTACACAAGAATTGCAAAAGTGTAGTATGAGTACAACTGATCCAATGTACTACGTAAGTGTTGAGCCTAGCCTTGAGGAGGTAGTGACGAGGCTTAATAACATCATATAAACTCGCTCGCTACCTCAAATCATCATAATAATATCCAATAACAAGAATCGATAGTCAAAACTCTAGATTTCAACTTAAAACTCATTTTTCACAATCTTTCACATAATGCGCCGAAATGCTATCGAATCACCCCAGTTCCCAACCAAACGTGCATACAAGTCCAAAAATATCAAATGAACCTGCCGGAATCGTCAAAATATCGATTCGTGATCGTTTACCAAAAACGTTGACCACGGTCAACTCAAACCTCATTTTAAGTGTGAAGAATTACCTTTTCTTTAAATTTTCATGTAAAAACTTTCCGAAAAACGACGCGGACCACACACGAGAGTCTTTTAACATCAAAATGAAGCTATGAGAGGTCTCGAAATACAAAAATAAAGGCTAGTACTCAAAACGACTTATCGGGTCGTCTCATATTAACTTCTTATTAATGAAAAATTAAGATCTGTAGCCTACTTGGGCGTAGTTATCATATAATATAACCAAAAAAAAAAAAAAAGCGTGTAAATTAATATTAAAACATAAACAAGTATGCCCAACATCAATGGCCAAACAAGTGAAAAATCATCTCATCTAAAAATTGAGACTGTGAGAGAGATATACTTTTATTGATTAATTTAAATATATTTTCAATGTGACCCCTTAAATGCGGACCTGATCATTTTAGTAGTCAAGAACACATACGTGGAAATTTGTTGACTGATGAGTCTTGAACTCAGGACGTATGTCTACTTTTATACGATAGTGAATTTTATGACGATCATTTAAATTAATTTAATTAAGTGCTAGAGATTGTACAATTATTTTATCGACTTAATTACATCTTTGATAATTGCAAATAACTATGAGTGGGTCCCAACTGCATGTTAAATTACTTATAGCATATTAAAATTAAATACATACAAATACATGTTCAAATTGTTTGTTCAACGACAAATTTGAAGCTTTTATTCATAAATAGATAAATAAAAATGAAAAAAAGAGTTTGTCTCTTTTAAGTTTTAAGTTACATTGGGGCAGGGAATGGAAAAGACAGTAAGACTTTTACCCGCACTTATTATATACGTAATAAACTTTCACCAATACTACTAAACTATAGACTTTGGTGGTGATTTTGTTAAAAGTTGACGAGTGAACGATAGGATTTGCCAGGGGCCCAATCCACTGGAATCACATTTTCAGCAACAAGAGTCTTCTTGGAATCCAAAGTAGTCAACCTAATGGAAAATGGAGCAATTGCTTGTGGGGGTACTAAGTCGATTTTCCAATTTGCTCCCCACGATTGTTTCATTGGAAGCCATTGATCTGAGCCAGAGGCTCGAAGCTCTACTAAATCAAGATCTCCGTCTCCATTTTCAAACTCAATCACACAGCTAAAATAGCTAGGATTAGAGCCAGGGTCGATCTTGAATGTCACTGTTGTTTGTGGATAATTGCAAGCAACTCTGTAAATGATTGATTATAAAAACAACAACATGTTAGAATATATTTCAGTTGAAATCTTTCGTATGAAAATTTTACCGTTTAAAGAGATAGCTAACCTCCTATAATACATTGAATTTACAATGATCATATAAATAATCTTTACAATAATTAATGTCAAATGTAAATAACTTAAATCCTTAAATAAAAAAGTATGTAGTATACGCTAGGCGTAATACTGCATAACTAAAATACACATTCTTTGTGTACTACAATGTATTTTGATGACATAGGATTTGATAATTTACATTATAGGTTTTAGCCTACAATACCATTACACCTGGAGAGGAAGAGAAGACACAATTCATAAATAAATATAAAAAAATTAAGAATGGAAGCTTAACCGTTTATATCCAATATTGATAATTCCAGCTCCACAAAATAAATCAGCTTGGCCAGGCTTAGCTAAGGCACCAAAAGCAGTTCCACTTAAATCAAAATGAAAAGGAGCACCGTCGCCGCAAGTGCCTGGGCACTCATCTGTGATTGTCACTGTAATTGGAACCTCAGAACAATCTACATTCTCTTTGCATATTACCTACAAAAGGAAAAAAAAGGATTCTTTCATTAAAACCATGCATGAATTGTTCAGTTCATGGAGAACTAGTTGGTCGTTCTTTTTCTTCGATGTGAGCAAAATGGGAAGGATTTAACTTATATACACGTTATAAATAATTTATACAGAATCCGTATTTAACATGTCGACTTGCATGTTACGCAAATAACTAATTCCACTTATAAGTATTAATCCCTCCGTTCCAATTTATGTGAACCTGTTTGACTGGGCACGGAGTTTAAAAAAAAATGAAGACTTTTGGAATTTGTGGTCCTAAACAAGTCAAAAAGGTGTCCAGAGTATTTGTGTGGTTATAAAAGCTTCTCATTAAATGGTAGAATTGTAAGTGTAAGCTAAATTATTACCAAATTTAGAAAGTAATCATTTTTTTTGGAACGGACCAAAAAGGAAATAGGTTCACATAAACTGGAACAGAGGGAGTACAATCTTTTATAGAACTTACACTCAAAATGTGAATATCATACACAAATTAAATTAGATATACCTGATAGCAGGCTCCACAACCTTTTCCTCCTTTAAAAAGATTGCTATTTCCAGCTGATACCATTGCAGAAAATGGAGGATTTCTTACGTCGTTGCCATATCCACAGGCTCCACCGTCTATATAAAGATTAGGTTTTTTTGTAATTAATCCTTTTTGGTGATTATGGTGAGCGATAACGTATTAAATATGGCCTCTAAGAAGTTAATTTAACGACCAATCAGCAAGGGCCAAACTGACGGGTTACAATTGGCTTGAATTCTTATATTATTCATTTTTCCGTGAGAGTGTATAATTATTATATCGACTATTCAATCAATCAATAATCAACTATATACGCGTTACTCTCAATTAGTTGGAATCATATAAGTGCTTTAAATTCATTTCGCTCTATGTAAGTTCATCTTATTTAGAAGATCTATCACGCTTCAACTACTTTGCTGCCGAAGCGCTGAATATCGACCTTTTTCTCTATATGAGTTTGGGAACAACTACAAGTTGCCATATAAATTGTGTTAGACAAAATAAAAGTAATGAGTACTAAATAAGAAAATTTAAGTTAGAAATAATAAAGGAAGTCATAACAAATTCCATGATAAAAAATTATTTTCTTCTTAAAATAATAATTATATCACATAAAATCAGTCAAAAATGTATTACATATATATGCAATGATGCACGTTATATTCATATATTCTTAATTTGCATGCATTTTCATGCATGGGAGTGCATATTACCACTGCCAGCTCCGGCGGGATCGCCGTACCACGTTGCGACGGCGGGTAAGAATGGATCTGTTTCAGCCATGGAGACGTTTACTAACTTAGAAGGCACACTAGTACAATTTTTCAACGATAAACTAAAAATAGCAGGAATGGTAAATAGATAAAAGGAATATTGAGGAATAGAATGACATGACATTGTGCTTTTCGTTCACAATAAAGCAATGTGGTTATTTACTTGATTTTGCACAAAAACAAGTAAAATATTGCTGGTTTTATATGCAACAGAACCTATGATGTTTACCCCATATAACACCAACACCATCCATTGAAATCGATCTAGGGTTTGTGAAATTTTCATTGTAAATTCTAGGAATTATTCCATTTCTTTGAACATGCAATGAATCTTAGTAAAATTAGTGTTCCAATTGAATTGAAGAACAGTTCAAATTGTCTGAATTGTCTTCATGCATGGTTGTGAAATTCTCATTGTAAATTCTTGGAAACATTCCATTTTTTTGAACATGTAATGAACATATGTTAGTATAAAAGTAGTCTTCCCATTGAATTCATGAACAGTTCAAATAGTCTTCAAGCACTAATTAAAAATATTGCACATGGAAGGTCTTGACAGTAAATTCCTAAATTAAAACTCTTTAAGGTTAAGTTTTCAAGCCCACTACATGACTTTGGAGTAGAAAAAAGATATAGCATGTGAATAAAGTTTGGTAAAACCAAATCCTTTAACGGAAAAGGGTCAAACATATCCCTGTATCACTACTAGAAATTCGGTAAAATCCGACCGACGCCTATCGACCAACGTTGGTCGATCCAAAAATGCGACCAAAAGACCGTCCAGCACTGACGAAAACTACCAAAAAAGTATATTACAAGTTTTTTAAATAACATACCGACCAAAGATGGTCGGTAAAAATTGGCGCACTTACCCAGGAAAATATTACCGACTGAAATCGGTCGATAAATTAGTCAAATATTTGATCGCACTGGTCAGACTTGCTTAGTCAAAGTACTTTTTTGATTACCGACCAACATCGGTCGGTTAGCTGGACCCACGTTTATAAATTTTAATAATTATATTATTATTTTAAAATATTTTATAAAATTTTTAGTTCAAGTTACCGACCAAAGTCGATTGGTCATTACAGGAGAACATATTACCGACAAACTTTGGTCGGTAACCGTAACTTCTGGAAACTAACCGACCAATTTCGGTCGGTTCATAGGTCAAACTTTTAAATCACATTAAAATTTACTATATAAATAATAAAAATATAATTTATTAACACTTTATTTTGTAATACAAATAATGAATGTACTAAAATATACTATAACAAGTTATATATAAAAAAAGTAGTACAACTAAGTGTTTGTGTGTGTTTATCTGTGTGTGTGTATATCCGCATCTAAGAACACGAAGCACTGGGCTACAGAGTTATTTTCATTTTTGGGGATAGACTTGTGAAGAAGCAACAATCTAATTAGTATATATAATTGATCATCATCGAATACATCTATTTGAATAATTATTAAATTGATTCATTGACTTATAACTTAGAAATTAAAATAAACGTACTTAAATGCATCAATGAATAATAAAAACAAAACGTCTCGACCTATATCGACTAATCTATGTCATGCATTATTAGTTATGAACGAATGAAATATTGAACAATACTAAACTTCTTTGACATATGTTGTGATGACCCGATAGCTCATCATATGTTTTGAAACATAATTTCGTATTTCGAAACCTTAAATACCTCATTTTAGTCTTCTTCGATTCGCGTGCGCAGCCCTGGCGTGTTTACGGAAAGCTTTTATGTTAAAAACTGAAAAAATAAAAATTTTGCCTTAAAATTTATTTGAGCTGACTTCGGTCAATGTTTTGAGCAAACGGACCCAAATTCATATTTTGACGGTCCTGGTGGGTCCATATCGTGATTTGGGACTTGTGCGTATGCCCGAAATTGAATTCGGAAGTCCCTAGCCTGAGTTACCGGACTTTGCTAAAATTTAAAAGTTAAAGGCTTAGTGAATTTGGAATGTTTAACCAATGGTTGACTTTTTGGATATTGGGTCCGTATTTTAGTTCTGAAACCCGGTATAGGTCCAATACAATATTTATGACTTGTCTGTGAAATTTGGTGAGAAACGGAGTTGGTTTGTCGTGATTCGGACGTCCGGCTGTGAAAATAGAAGTTTTAAAGTTTTCTTGAAAATTTCATTTGATTTGGTGCTCATTTCGTAGTTCTAGGTGTTATTTTGGCGATTTCATATCACGATCAAGTTCGTAGGATGTTTTTAGACCTGTGTGCATTTTGGTTTGGAACCCAAACTATCGGATAGGCTGCGGAGTGAAATTTTGAGTTAGAACATTGCTGGTGTGCTTCAGTTTTTGTTGCAGGCCTCAGACCCCGCAATTGCGAGCTCAAGCTTCGCATTTGAAGCCACTTATGGATTCGAATTTGCCATTCACTCATCGCATTTGCGAAGAGTAGCTGGGGAGGCCAAAGATTGCATTGCGAACAAAACTTCGCATTTGCGAAGTGGGTTGGGCAAGCAGTGATCGCAAGAGCGATCAAATGGTCGCAAGTGTGGTTGGTCAAAGTTCACATTTGCAAACTATTCTTTGCATTTGCGAAGAAAGCAGAGGTGTGATGATCTTCGCATTTGCGATCGATTCTTTGCATTTGTGGGTTCGCAAATGGTCTCAAATGCGACATCTGCAACTGATCAAAATGGGACTTAGACGGGATTTTTAGTTCATTCTTCAAATTTTCGAACTTAGAAACCCTAGAGACCATTTTTCAAAGAGCTCTTCTTCCCCAAATCATTGGTAAGTGATTATAAACTAGTTCTTTCAATCTTTCACTACTTTACGTAAGATTTCAACCTAAAATCTTGTGTTTTCATGGTGAAAATTGGGGGTTTGGGTAAAATTAGAGATTTTTGTAAAATAGGGATTTAGACCTCAAATTGAGGTTCGATTCCAAAAAAAATTACATAACCGGGCTTGGGGGTGAATGGGTAATCGGGTTTGGTTCTGAGTTTCGGGTTTGGACCAAGCGAGCCCATATGTTGACTTTTGTTGACTTTTCAGTAATGACCTAAATTGAATTCCTTGCAATCGTGGGTAGTTCCTAAGGCTTAATTTGAATAGTTTGGTTGGTAATTTGCTAGATTCTATTGGTTTGGAGGCTTGTTAGAAAAGCAAAGCTGTGGTTAAGCTTTGAGTTTTATCTTTGGAGCGAGGTAAGTGTCGTGGTTAACCTTGACTTGAGGGATTATGACGTATTTGTCTATTTGCTACATGTTTAGATGTTGGGTACAATGTATATGTAAGGTGACGAGTACTTATGCGTTATTGTCGGGTTATATCATGCGGGTGGGACTTGTTCTTTGCAATTATTGCTTTCCTTGGTCATGTTATCCATGCTTAGACTAGTTAATTATTAAATTGACCGTTCTTATCATATTTATGAGCTTTGGTGATAATTAATTATTGATTCGGAATTGAGATTGGTATTGTGGAACCGTTGTGGAGGTAAGGCTCATACTTATTGATCCTATCTCCCTGTTATTACTTTTTCAGTGTTATGTGGTAAGGGAGAGTGTTAATGCACAAAGGGCGATGACGTGCTGTATGTGAGTGTTAATGCATGAAGGGCGATGCCGTGCCATATTGACTGTTCTGGTTATCATTCCGCTATAATTCTCGTATTTGGTATTTCCCCCTTAGCAAGTCCCCCTCCCGATATTACCTGTCTAGCTTTTGTTTGTTGCTATCTTGTACATATACTGATATTTGCACATGTTTATTATGTAGGTGTCTTGTCATAGCCTCGTCACTACTTTATCGAGATTAGGATCGACACTTACGAGTACATTGGGTTGGTTGTCCTCATACTACTCTCTGCACTTATTGTGCAGCTTTTGTTACCGGCCCTAGCTGTCCGTGAGTTGGAGCAGCTTGGATCTTCTTATTCGGATACTCGAGGTAGATCTATTGGCGCCCGCAGACCTTGAATTCCCCTTCTATTTTCTTATTCCACTGTTTCTTTTCTTGGTATTTCTTTCAGACTTTGTTTGTAGTAAAATCTAGAAGCTCGTGGGTTGTGACTCCAGATCCGTGTTGTAGTTGATTTTGGGCATTAATGTTATTCCGCGCTTCATTTCATTTCATTTTGGTTTAATTGGCTGTAAGGCCACGTAAGATTTTACCTGAAAACCCGGAATTTCGTGGTGCCCAATTAGGCTTATGCGTTAAAGGCCCGCGGTACGGACTTTTTGGGTCAAAAAATGCACCGAGGAGTTAAAGAGAAATGTTGGTAGAATAAGGCATTTCCGCGGCCCACTATGCGGTAGCAGAATTACTCTGCGGGCCGCAGAATGGCCGCAGAGTGAGGCAGTCATTTAAGCCATTTTTATGTCACTTTTGTGGCCCATTATGCGACGGCAAAACTATTTCGTGGGCCGCACTTTGATCGCATATCCAGCCTCGAGATTTCTCAAGTGGTGGTTCTGCGGCGCATTATGCGACCGCAGAACAGGTCTGTGCACCGCAGATTGGTGGCAGACCGAAGCAGAAAATTCCAGTTCTGGAGGGCCATCATGCGGCCCATTTTGTGGGCCGCAGATGCATTATGCGGTCGCATATGCGACCACATATCTGTATCGGGGCTCCTAATTTCTAATTTTTAAACCCGATCCTATGTCGTTAAAACAGATGCCTTAGACCATTTTGAGCCTATTTTCTAATGTCTTTAGAGTGAGAAAGAGAGTCCAAGAGGGAGAAAGTGTTCTTCATAAAAAATTTCTCTTCAATTCTTGCTTAAACCAAACCAAACATACACGCAAGTCCAAAAACATCATACGAACTTGCTCCTGCGATCAAATCATCAAAATAACATCAACACCCATGAATTACACCTCAAATTCATATAATTACTCAAGAACATCAAAATTTCTATTTTCTCAATGAAAGGTCCGATATGTACTAAATGAACTCCGATTCTTACCAAACTTCACAGATTCAACTTAATTATCATATAATACCTGTACCGGGCTCCGGAACCAAAATACGAGCCCGGTACCATCAATTTCAAGCATCTTTTCGTTTCCAAAACTCTTATAATTTCAGTTAAACAATTTCTTCCAAAAATTCATTTTCTCGGGCATGGGACCTCGGAATTCGATTCCGGGCGTACGCCCAAGTCCCAAATTTTACTACGGACC